CACCCCACAGACTGAAGATGTACAGAACTCACCTCAGACCATGAGCCTCAGGGGGAAATCTGGATTTTTGGAGCGATGGCGTTTTGAGTCCGGGAGAGTAAAAATGACTCAAATATGCACAAATCACTCAAATACACCTGGAGTGGGTAAACGAGAAGAGAAACTCTTCTAACACGGGTTTAAAGGACCATTTTGCACAATCTCCCCCTTTAAGTAAAAGAACAAATCTCTGTTTTTGTTTTGAGCTTGTGGGCAACTGTAGCTCCTCCTGCTCACTTCAGAGTCTCTGTTTTTGCTTCATTCTGCAGAAGACACTTGAGTTTGCACCATGAAGCTGTGTACTCTGGGCTGCCTGCTCCTCTCCATCCGTGAGTCACACTTTACAGCATTTTATACATTAACAATAATCATGTTTAACTCAAAATTATGGGTTTAAGTGTGTTTTTTCTTTCATTTTCTGTACATTTATTCCTTGTTTGCCATTTATTTGATTTAATTTAACCAAATATGAGCTCATGCATTTACAGCTATATTTTCAATAACCTTTTTTTTTTTTTTTTCATTTTTTCCCCCTAAATGTTGTGTAAACTTGTTTAGTATTTTTAATGTATGTTTGTATTTGTAAAAATAATTAAATAATTCTTCCTGTACCAGAGGTGGGGAATTGAGTCAGACTTGAGTCACCAATTTAACAACTTGGAAAAATGACCAAAGACTTGGGACTCGACTTGGAAAGACCTGATGCTCAAAATGGTTTAGAAAAGTTTAGAAAAGTTTAGAAAATATCTCACCTTTCATCTGACACACAGGAGGGCATCTGACAATATCCAGCTAAATTAAAATTACTTGAATTAAGAACATTTGACTTTATTGGAGTTGATTCATCTTGAAAAGTAAAATGATTGACTAATGGAATAAGTTTGTTTTTCTTAATTCAAGCTACATTTGATTTAGTTTCTTATTTTAAGTGCAGCAGATGTTTTTTTCATATTTTAAGCACAAAAAGTCTTGTTCCACTGCAGATCATTTTACTTGTCAAGTGAAATTTACTCAAATCCTGATAAAATTTTGTTAATTCAAGTAATTTTAACTTGACTAGAGTTTCTTTTTTTTTTTCAGTTGTTTGGACTTAAGATTAGTTTAGGCTTCTTTTTTTTCCATCTTTAAATGATCGTTGTTCTCTGAGGTTTACTAGACTCATTTAACAGAATAAAATTCATATGAATAAAAAAATGGAGAAACCCAGTGTGGTTGATTTGGAAATGCTGTGCAAAGGTTTAAGAAATTCACAGTATAAAATAGAACAGGGTTTATTTAGCTGAACTTTTTGAATGTGTTTGTGTCTGAAGACTTGAAAAGACTTGACATTTAAGTATAGGACTTGGACTGGACTTGGACTCGCCTGTCTTTGTCTTGGGACTTGACTGGGACTTGAAGCCAAAGACTTGGGACTTCCTTGAGACTTGCTAAACAGTGACTTGGTGCCACCTCTGGTCTGTACTTCTGTTCTAAATCTGGTCGTGTGCCTTGGCTGTGGGCGGGTCAGGAGTGCTCAGCTGGAGGATTAATGAGGAAATGTCCCGCAGTGAGGCTTTAACCCTGTTAGTGCTAAAGCGGCCCTGTCTGGTCGGGAGGAGCTGTGGTGAGATGTTGTGGTTTTGGAGTCTTCAGTTCTAATGGCAGTCTGCGCCCACATCCTTCTGTACAACGCTGCATTAGATCCTTCCATCACCCGGGCGCTTCCTCCTCTGACCCGGGGCTCTGTGGCGCCACCACCTAACTTTTTTTTATTTTCACTTTATTTTTGTTAGAAGGTTTTAGTTTTGTAAATCACATATTTACATACACAGATTATTAGTATTGTAGAACACAATAAATCATCAGACTGACCAAAACAAAAAACAAAAGGGAAACATTAAAAATAAAAAAAGGAGCCCATCAAGCAAGTGAAATCTGCAAAGGTGTGTGAAACATTTACATTAGAATTAGTTTTGATTGTAAGATTTCCACTTTTTCCAGTACAGTCTCCTTTATCTCAGGAGTGTCTCAAGGAAAATGTTACTTGTTCCATAACCAGAATTTGGTTGATTATTTCAGCCCATTTTGCAGGTTTGTGCTGTAGCCATTTTCTCGCGATCGCCTCTTGCTGGTTGCTTGTTGTTTCTGAAGAATGTATATGTCTTTTTTTTTTTCAGCCCAGTCGGTATGTTTCCCAAATAAAAAACACTGAAATGTTCCTCCAGTTACAGTCCTGTAATAAGCTTCATGTTCTTAATGATCTCTGTCCAGTAGGGGGCGATCTTGGGACATTGCTAGAATATGTGAAAATGTCCATCTGATGATTGTCCACAGTTTCTTCAACAATGACGTTATTCCACGCTCTTAGTCTGATGTTTTCTTGAAGTTTTTACAATGGATTTACAGATATTTCCCAATCACCATCAGTTAAAGTGATCCCTGCCTCCTTTTCTCATTTGCCAACGCTTCACTTTAATAACTTAGACGAACTTTATTGATCCACAGAGAAATGAGTCGGACACTGTTTAGAATAACAAAGAGAAAAAGTATAAATGTGCAAAAAAATACACGGACATCAAATAAAACAGAATTTCATAAATGTAAATGTACAAGTCAAAATAAAATACAATAGGAATAAATAATAAGCAATAAAAATATCTCAATTTTCAATTTCCTTTAGTCTAACACAATGATCTTCAGTGAAAAAGGAAAACTGGACTTGAATAAAAAGTGCACTATGTAAATTTGAGTAGTGAGGACATGATTGGAGCGGGCCACACTCACCACAGACCGACAGGGAAGAGGAGGAGAGGCACGTCACACAAACAAAGACACATGACAAGTCATCAATAAAACCAACAAACCCCGAAAAACACAACAGACCAACAGAACAACAAACCCCGAAAAACACAACAGAACAGACCAACACACCAACAGACCAACAGAGGGCAGCAGGAGCATAAGAACACAGTCACACTACCGAACATCAGATGAAGAACTGAACCCATGAAAAAACAAAACATCAGCACTGGAGTCAAACCAGTGTTGTAGTCCAGACTGCACTGAACGAGACCAAGACCAGTCCGAAACTACAGGGTCCTGAGACAAGACCAAGACTTTTGAAGGTCGAGACCGAGACAAGACTGAGACCACAGCCCATCAAGACCAAATCGGGTTTGTAATTTTCAACATTTATTTGTATATTACAGTTATTTTTGGCATATATATATATATATGTCACTGTTTTTTATAAACATTTTCCATTTGACCTGGTTATGTTCATTTAGGCTTAAAATAAGCCAAACAAACTGTTCTACACGTAAACACGGTACACAACACACTGTGCCCCCTTTCTTGATCTTCACCCACAGTTTGGCTTTTTTTAAGTTCCTAACATTTACAGTCACATTCTCTTACTGGATTTGCAGTGATACTGAGCAGCCTCTGTACATTTACTGACCATAATTAAATATCATCACACTCGTCGAGTGTCTCCTTGAACTGCCACCTTAATGTGCTGGAGGAGTTTGAATGATCCTGGGAGCTGTGTTGTCGGTGGCTTCATGCTCCTGGTCACCTGACCTGGCAGGCCCAAGCATGTAGTGAGGGTCTGTTGGGAACGTCTGGCAGAGCCTCTGTCAGGGTGACCTTCAACTCACACCTCCGGGAGAGCTTCTCCCAGATCCCAAGGGAGGTGGGGGACATGGAGTCTGACTGGGCTTCGTTCTCGGCTTCTATTGTTGATGCGGCCGCTTGTAGCCGTGGGCGTAAGGTCTGTGGTGCCTGTCGTAGCGGCAATCCCTGAACCCGGTGGTGGACCACAGAAGTAAGGAATGCCGTCAGGCTGAAGAAGGAGTCCTATCGGGCCTTGTTGGCTCGTGGGACTCCTAAGACAGCTGACACGTGTTGCAGCCAGTGCAGTCGCAGAAGCAAAAAATTGAGGCTGGGAGGATTTTGGAGAAGCCATGGAGAAGGACTATTGGCCGGCCTCAAAGAAATTCTGGCAAACCATCTGGTGCCTCAGGAGGGGAAGCAGTGCTTCAGCAACACTGTTTACAGTGTGGGGGGAGAGCTGTTGACCTTGACTGGGGATGTTGTCGGACGGTAGAAGGAATACTTTGAGCACGGTGGCTGAGTGGCTAGCACTCATGCCTCACAGCAAGAAGGTTCCGGGTTCTATCCCGTCTGGATGGGTTTCCTCCGGACGCTCTGGTTTCCCCCATCAACCCAAAACATGCTACATAGGTCTCCAGAACAGTTGATAGCCAAGGTCAGTTAAATACAATCAATCAATGAATCTGCCCAGGGACTACAGGTGGAAATTAGCACTGATGCTACAACCTGATGTACAATGCATCTCTCCTGTTAAGGTTAATGCAAAAAATGTGCTCTGTCCCTGTCTTAAATAAATAAATAAATCCCACCGTCATGTCTTCCGAGGAGGAAGCCGAGACTGGGGACTTGGAGGCGGACTCGTCCATCACCCTGGCTGAAGTCACTGAGGTGACTCTGGGGGTGGATGAGATCCATAATGAGGATCTTAAATCTCTGGATGTTGTGGGTCGTGATTGACACGTCTCTGCAACATCACGTGGTGGTGGGGGACAGTGCCTCTGGACTGGCAAACTGGGGTGGTAGTCCCTTTGTTTAACAAGGGGGACCAGAGGGTGTGTCCCAACTACTCCTCAGCCTCCCCGGTAAGGTCTATTCCAGGGACTGGAGAGGAGAATCCGGCTGATAGTCGAACCTTGGATCCAGGAGGAGCAGTTTGGTTTTCGTCCTGGCCCTGGACCAGCGCTACACTCTCCATTGGATTCACGGGAGTTTGCCCAACCAGTCCACATGTGCTTTGTGGATCTGGAGAAGGCATTCGACCGTGTCCCTTGTGGTGTCCTGTAGGCGGCGTTCTGGGAGTCTGGGGTCCGGGGCCCTTTGCTAAGGGCTGTCTGGTCCCTGTATGACCGGAGCTGTGTTTGGACACCATGAACCGAGATGACGGAGCGTTCCTCCTTTCACACACCTGGAACCCCCTCCTCCAGAGAGCACCAGGCGACGGGAATCGAGGTCAGTCTGAGCGACCTGACATGTCCATCAAGCTGACCTCCACCTTAAACCACAACGCTGCTCTGTGATTGGTCCATCCGCTGCACACACCAAGATGGATCCTCAAGACTTTGTGACTCCCAAATATCAGAGATTCTGTCTGGCTGAGCAGGGTTAATGTCCCACAATATGGCATTAAACACTTCTCCAAGGAAACAAGATCTTTTTTCTTGCAGTGCTTTATAAAAGTCAAAAGAACAGAGCGAGTTATGAGTCTCCCGTTTATGGCAGGATTGTGGACGTGGCATTTCCAGGCGCTCAGAGAAACAGGAATCAGAGTGTCCTGGAGATTTACACTGGTTGCTATGGTAACTATGGCACAGATATGGCAAGGAGCTCAGAACCAGAATACTTGAGTACATGTGTGACACTGCATTAATACAGCCATATGTGTGTTTGTGTCAGATGTACCGTCCGGGTGGACAGATGTGCCATCCATGTCGACAGATGTGCCGTCCAGGTCGACAGATGTACCGTCCGGGTCGACAGATGTACCGTCCGGGTCGACAGATGTACCGTCCGGGTCGACAGATGTACCGTCCGGGTCGACAGATTTGCCGCCCAAGGAGACAGATAAGGGGTATGGGTGGAGAGCTAAAGTGTCCAAGCAGAACTGCTCGTTCCACTCCCTCTTGGAGCATCTTCAGCTGAAAAAGAATTCGGACATATTGTCTATGGTCCGCCCTGTGTGGAACTACTCCCAGCCCACAAAGGTGTACCTGAGCACCCTCATTTACGCCATCCTGGACGTGGTGAGTGCAACACCTCCATCACAGTCTCATGATCCAAAATCTGAGAATAATCAATACTAAAAATAATATCAAAGCCTCATGTTCCACTGACAGAAAAGAGCAGAACCTTTCCTGAATGTGTTTAGAACGAACTGGAGCTGGATCAGAACAAGTATAAGAGCACAGAGACTAGTATACATCCATGGATCTGGTCTAGACCTGGACCACTGCGGGATTACACATATATAAGGACACATGGACCAGTGACTAAACCAGGACTAAACCAGGACTAAACCAGGACTAAACCAGCAGGGTTCAAAGGTCAATATGAGGAGCCTGAGGAGCCAGAGCCAATATCCTCAAAACATCAGAGTCTGTGTCACAAACTAACTGCAGTTTTGTGTTTTGTTGGATTCACAGAGAGAAAAAGACCAGAGCATGGTCTCCTTCTTATGGACCTGAGTGTGTGTTTCATGATGGTGTGTGTCTGGTGTGTGTTTCATGATGGTGTGTGTCTGGTGTGTGTTTCATGATGGTGTGTGTCTGGTGTGTGTTGTGTCTGGTGTGTGTCTGGTGTGTGTTTCATGATGTGTGTTTCATGATGGTGTGTGTCTGGTGTGTGTTTCATGATGGTGTGTGTCTGGTGTGTGTTTCATGATGACGTGTCTGGTGTGTGTGTCATGATGGTGTGTGTCTGGTGTGTGTTTCATGATGGTGTGTGTCTGGTGTGTGTTTCATGATGGTGTGTGTCTGGTGTGTGTTTCATGATGGTGTGTGTCTGGTGTGTGTTTCATGATGGTGTGTGTCTGTGTGTTGTGTCTGTGTGTTTCATGAATGTGTCGTGTGTCTGGTGTGTGTTTCATGATGTGTGTGTGTGTCTGGTGTGTGGTGTGTGTTTCATGATGGTGTGTGTCTGGTGTGTGTTTCATGATGTGTCTGTGTGTGTCTGTGTGTTGTGTTTCATGATGGTGTGTGTCTGGTGTGTGTTTCATGATGACGTGTGTCTGTGTGTGGTGTGTGTCTGTGTGTGTGTTTCATGATGTGTGTGTGTCTGGTGTGTGTTTCATGTGTGTGTGTTCATGATGGTGTGTGTCTGTGTGTGTGTTTCATGATGGTGTGTGTCTGGTGTGTGTTGTTTCTGGTGTGTGTCTGGTGTGTGTTTCATGATGGTGTGTGTCTGGTGTGTGTTGTGTCTGGTGTGTGTCTGGTGTGTGTTTCAGTGGTGGAAAAACGACTTCATCTCGTGGGACCTTCAGGACTTCTGTGGGCTCTACATGGTCTCCATTCCCATAGAAAAACTATGGACACCTGATATCACCATAAAGGAGATGTGAGAACCACACACACACACACACACACACACACACACACACACACACACACATACACACACACACACACACACACACACACATACATATACACGCACACACACATGCACACACAGAGACACACACGCACAATACACACACGCAGAGATGAGATCCTGTAGTCCCCAAACCGGCCCCCCTCCGGCTTCTGACTGCACCTAGAAATTCTGTCCATAAAAACAATGAACAGAACCAGTGACAGGGGCGGCCCTGGCAGAGTCCAACATGCACCAGGAACAGGTCTGATTTACTATGGCAACGAATACAGCTCCAGCTCTGGTTATACAGGGACCAGACAGGCCTAAACAAAGGGCCCTGGACCCCAGACTCCCAGAGCACCCCCCACAGGACACCACGAGGTATACGGTTGAGCACCTTCTCCAGATCCATAAAGCACTTGTGGACTGGTTGGGCAAACTCCCATGAACCCTCGAGCACCCTAGAGCTGGTCCAATGTTCCACGGCCGGGACGAAAACCACACTGCTCCTCCTGGACCCGATGTTCAACTATCAGCAGAATTCTCCTCTCCAGTCCCTGGAACAGAGGGACCATCACCTCGGTCTGCCAGTCCAGGGGCACTGTCCCAGACCGCCATGCGATGTTGCAGAAACGTGTCAGCCAAGACCCACAACATCTAGAGACTTAAGATCCTCAGGATGGATTTCATCCACCCCTGCAGCCACCTGAGGAGCTTTAACCACCTCACTGACTTCAGTCTGGGTGATGGATGAGTCCGCCTCCGAGCCCCCAGCCTTGGCTTCCTCCTTGGAAAACGTGACGGTGGGATTGAGGAGATCCTCAAAGTATTCCTTCCACTGTCCGACAACATCCCCAGTCAGGGTCAACAGCTCTCCCCCCGCACTGAAAACAGTGTTGGTGAAGCACTCCTTCCCCCTCCTGAGGCGTCAGATGCTTTGCCAGAATTTTTTTGAGGCCGATCGATAATCCTCCTCCATGGCCTCTCCGAACTCCTCCCAGGCCCGGCGTTTGGGACTCTTTTCTTCAGCCTGACGGCCTCCCTTAGTTCCGGTGTCCACTACTGTGTTCGGGAATTGCTGCTGCGACAGGCACCACAGAGCTTACGACCACAGCTACAAGCGGCCGCATCGACAATAAAGGCCGAGACCAAAGCCCACTCAGACTCCATGTCCCCAGCCTCCCCCGGGATCTGGGCCTGCCAGGTCTTTCCGGCTTCGTCTTCCACCAGCGGACTCAACTCACCACCAGGTGGTGCTCTACAGCTCAGCCCCTCTCTTCACCTGAGTGTCCAAGACACGCGGCCGAAGGTCAGATGACATGTTGACAAAGTCGATCATCGACCTCCAGCCTAGGGCATCCTGGTGCCACGTGCACTGATAGACCTTGTGCTCAAACATGGTGTTTGTTATAGACAAACTGTGACTAGCACAGACGTCCAGTAACAGAACACCGCTCGGGTTCAGATCAGGAAGGCCATTCTTCCTGATCACCCCTCTGCAAGTGTCACTGTCATTGCCCACGTGGGCGTTGAAGTCCCCCAGGTCAGTGCACTGTCTAGTACCCCTCCCAGGGACTCTGTGCTGTTTGGCCCGTAGGCCGACACCATAGTGAGAGATCTGTCCTTGACCTGAAGGCGCAGGGGCGCGACCCTCTTGTTTACTGGGGTGAACTCCAATACATGATGGCTGAGCTGTGGGGCAATGAGCCCACACCAGCCCGCCGCTGCTCCCTGCAATGCCAGAGAAACTATATCTAATCTCAACCTCCCGCACAAGCTCGGGCTCCTTCCCCCAGTAAGGCGACTTTCCGCAATGCCACAGCCAGATGCTGTGTCTGTGGACTGGGTTGTCGAGACACCTGTCTCCGACTGCCGCCCAGTCCTCTGGGCACCCGACCCCTATGAACCCCTTTGTGGGTGGACCCATGTCGTCTTTTTGGGCTGAGCCTGGCCAGGCCCTGTGACGTACACTGTGACGTACACACCCCCTGTGATGTACACGCTGTGACATACACACTGTGACGTACACTGTGACATACACACTGTGACGTACACACTGTGACATACACACTATGACACACCCACTGTGATGTACTCACTGTGATGTACACGCTGTGACGTACACACTGTGACGTACACTCCCTCTGTGACGTACTCTCTGTGACATACACTCTGTGGCATACACACTGTGACGTACACTCCCTCTGATGTACACTCTGTGATGTACACACTGTGATGTACGCACTGTGACGTACACACTGTGATGTTCACTCCCTCTGTGACATACACACTGTGACATACACACTGTGACGTACACACTGTGACGTACACACTGTCACATAGACACTCTCACGTACATGCCTCCTGTGAGATACACACACGCCCACTCTGACGTACTCACTGTGATGTACACACTGTGACGTACACACTGTGACATTCACTCCCTCTGTGACGTACACTCCCTCTTTGACACACACACTGTGATGTACGCACTGTGACGCACGCACTGTGACGTACGCACTGTCACGTACACACTGTGACGTTCACTCCCTCTGTGACACACACTGTGACGTACGCAGTGTGACGTACACACTGTAACGTACGCACTGTCACGTACACACTATCACGTACACTCCCTCTGTGGCGTCTGCTCCAGTTTGATGTTCTTCATGGGTGATACTCGTAGGATTCAGCAGCTGATTGTGAAATAAAATACATATACAATAAACATTTGCTTAAAAATGTGCAGACTAGAATGCTGAGCTCCATAGACATCCATACAGTTGCCCCCCAGTGCAACATGACTGCTCCGAGGATTTACCATTACTATGGCAATGGTGTTTTTGTCCCTTCTTGTTGCTCCAGGACCGAGAAGGACAAGTCCAGCGTGAGTCCGTTTCTGTATGTCACATACGAAGGCAATGTGTTCTACAAGGAAGACCAGGTGATCGTCAGCACCTGCCGGCTGGACATCTACAAGTTCCCCTTCGACACCCAAAGGTGCAACCTGAGCTTCAGATCGGTGCTGCTGAGTGGTGAGGACACAAGCAGGGCTCAGTGATGTCACACACAATAAGAACATTACCACATGTGAGGAGAGATAATGTTCAAAATGAAGACGTCATTTATTCTTTAAACTTTGTGTTATACCAGCACCTTGTGATGTCATGAAGTGAACAGCTCCTTTTCCCTTTAGTTGAGTAGAGATCGGCAATTCCAGGACTGAAATGACCCAAATGATTCTAATGAAGGTGTGTGTAATTTAAAAATATTCCAACCATTATTTGCCTTGTCTTTGCTGCATGAACAAAAGGAACAGGAAGAAGAAAAATTTTATAAACCTGCTCCTTTCACAAATTAAAAAAAACATTTCTTTAATAATCAATCCCCAAAAACCAAACCAAGTGACTAATGAGCCATGTGCATGTTACAGTATCTCTCTTGTGGTTTACATTTCATTCATTTAAGCATTTTCCTCAGTCACATCGTCCATCATTATTTTATCCTTGTACATTTTCTTAAATTTAGAAACACTTGTGCAACTTTTAAAATCAGGATGTAGCAGGTTCCATATCTTGACTCCGTGCACAGAGACACATTTCTGTTTCAATCTTGTCCTTGAGAAGACACTTCGGAAAACATATTGAGCCTGACCAACCGACCCAATCTTAGAGCAGGTGAAAGTGTGGAGTGTGGAGCTCTGAACAAGAGGTGAAGTGGTGACCCCCGACTATAAATATGACATACAAATGTGTTTTATATTAAATTGGGCCTAGTGTCATGTCTAAACAGCTGCTCTGTTATTGTACACTCGTGGGGGGCTCATCCTGAAATCTTGAGCTGAAACTCGCTGCATCTCCAGTTTCAACCTCAACAAGTTCCATGACAGAAATAATCCTGTCTGACCAAAGCCACTTAGGCCTGAAGTTTAAGCTGCACTTGGTTCTCTGGACTCTGAGAAGAAAAAAGCAACAGAGCCACAGAGAGGAGCCACAGAGGAGCCACAGAGGAGCCACAGAGGAGCCACAGAGAGGAGCCACAACGCATGGAGTCTGATATGGGACATCCACCTCCTCTCCTGTTCTCCTCCTCCTCTTCTGTTCTCCTTCTCTCCTGTTGTCCTCCTCCTGTTCTCCTCCTCCTCTCCTCCTCTCCTGTTCTCCTCCTTGACGTGTTTGCAGTTTGACAGGGAGCTAGAGATGAGGGGATGAAGAGACAGATGTGCTGAAGAAGTGAACAGACAGAACCCACTGAAAACCAGTTCATCCTCATCCTTGAAAAATGAAGAAATATATAAAATTAAAAACGCAAGCGGTGTCGAACGGCCCTCGCCTGGTGCAAACTCCCCTCCCCACATTAACCCTAATAACCACAAACCCCAAGCATGACTCTAACCTTTAGCCCAAACCCTAATGCTAGACCTAATCCTAAATGAAACCCTAAGCTTAAACCTAAGCCTGGTCGTAACCCTAATGACAGCCCCAACCCCAAAACCAACCCTAATCCTAACCTACGTCGATCTGTTCAGGGTTGGGGTGTGCAGCCACAATTAAAATTTGAGTGAAATCAGCCAAAGTTTGTGCAAATTGCTAGGGGGTGCTATTTCACCCATTTATTTGTAGCAAAAACAATATATCTGTTAACATGGAAACAGCATATTATACGTTTTTTGAAAGCTCTCGACCTTCCCCTTCACTGTGGGGTCATTGGTGAATGACAGGCACTGACGTGCTTGACATTCACCATCTCGTCGGGGTTGCCCCCTGACCTCCCATTGACTTCCACTCATTTTAGCAGTGGTAATTATGGCCCAGGCCTTGGGCGTAGGTTACTGGGATACTGCTGTTCAGGCCTGGGGCGACAGAGAGAACAATGCTGTATGTCGTCCTCTCGCATTCGCCCATGCACTCATCATCACCCATGCGTTCGTCGGAGTGAACGCAATAGGCCCTATGCCCTGTCGGGGCTATTTCTGTGTGTAGGGAGGGCAAACTATAGCTCTGCTTTTGAAACTCTTTTTGTTCATGATTCATGTAGTTCTTTTTTGCAGCAGGAACAAATGTTTTTTGGTACTTGGAGAAGCTTTACCCTCAAACCTCTGAGCAGCAGCTAAAATATAGGAGAATTAGACATCCAATACATTTTTTCATCAAAAATTATTCCAAAGAATTTTATCTCGCTCACTCTCTGTGCTCACACCATCAATAACTATTGTCAAATTTTCAGTCTGTTTTTCAGTTACCAAAATAATTTTCTGGACACTCAAACTCTGTTCTATTCCACAGAAATGTCCCACATGTTTTCTGACTCAAACTTATGAGAAAAAGATCGCGTTTATCAGCCAATTTAAGCCGATATGAAGCCAAAAATGATTCTGAAGTATTTAAAAGTTAATCTCTTTTTCATTCCTGGGTCTATGAACGTAAAATAAAAAGTAAGTAAAGATCAAACCCTCCTCTGTTAGAATATTTCAGCTGTAAGTTCCTATGGAGCTGTTTTCTGTTTCTGCATATGAGGAGGACGAAGGAGAACTGGAGAACCTTTGGACCAAAACAAATGACACACAGAGGGCTGGAGGGACACGAGTGGATCCACCAACACGAGGATCAAATCATGACTTGACTCGATATTATATCAAATATTGTTGTATCCTTAGTACCTACATGTAGGACACCTCCAGCGTCACTGCACTTTCACTTCCTAACTCTGCTCAGACGTGGCGACAGCTGGAGTTGTTTGTTTTCTCATGTTTTGAATCTCTTTTCAGATCGTGATATCACTCTTCACGTGTCTGGTGCAAATGAGAAAGAAAAGTGGACTGAGCGAGGCATGGAGAGTCAGTATGAATGGATCTTCAAGAATGTCACCATCAACGAGTCCAAAATCTCCCCCTTCGGATACAAACAGGACATGATCACCTACACTGTGAGTAACTGTGACAACAGAGGACAAGGCGAGTTCCGGTCTCTAGGGACAAAACATTTCCTCTGTGATGTGTTCCCTCTGAAGCCTTTGCAGGAGTCAGAGGTCAGAGGTTAGGCTCAGGTAGTGACAGTGACCTGTGGGTGAATGTTACTGAAACACGTTTAACACTTTACAAATGAATTAGTGTCAGTGCTGACTCTAATGCTATCTTTTATTAAAACGTTAAATGTAACATAAGAACAAAATGTATTCTGTTGTAAAGATGTCACGATTTATTTGAAAAAAATATTAGGCTCAGAAATAAGCATAATCAGCCTCAGTAACTATGACAACAAAGACTTAACAAACTCCTCTCTCCTCTCCTCTCTCGTGTCTCTAATTCTCAGATCGAGATAGAGCGCCGTTCCGTTCTCTACATCGCAAACTTCATCCTCCCCGTTCTGTTCTTCTTGGTGTTGGATTTTGCTTCGTTCCTGATGTCGGACACTGGAGGAGAGAAGATGGGTTTTAAGGTCACTGTGCTCCTCGCTGTGACAGTGATGCAGCTTCTGCTCAATGAGATTTTACCTTCGTCGTCCGATCAGATCCCTCTGATCGGTGCGTCCCTGCTGTCGGGCTCCTCATTCTTTCCTTTGACCCCTGCTGTCAAGACTCCTCATTCTGACCCCCCCATGACCCTGGGGTTTGGGCTTCAACATTTTGTCCCAAATCCAGATCTGAACATTAAGAACAGACCAATCAGATGTCTTCTTTCCCCGAGGCCCCTCCCTTGCTATGATACACTTTTCAAATCAATTATTTTCCAAAGGTTGATGGTTTTGTTAGGCAGACACAGATTCCTGCTTCCTGGTGGTTACAGAGGGGAGAGAGTTCAGCTCCTCACAGCCTGGAGGATGAAGCTGTGAGTGAGTCTGGTGGAGCTGGAACGGAGGTTCTTATGCCTCCACCCGGAGGGCAGGGCCTGAACAGTGTGTGTGTCTGATGACTTTCACTCACTCACAGTTGTGATAGTTTTACGGGTGAGGTAGGTGGTGTATGTGCGGGTGAGGGTGGTGGTGTATATGCGGGTGAGGGTGGTGGTTTAATGTGGGTGAGGGTGGTGGCGTATATGCAGTTGAGGGTGGTGGTGTATATGTGGATGAGGGTGGTGGTGTATATGAGGGTGGTGGTGTATATGTTGGTGAAGTGGGTGGTGAGGCAGATGGTGTATATGTGGGTGAGGAGGGTGGTGTATAGGCAGATGAGGTGGGTGGTGTATATGCGGTTGAGGGTGGTGGTGTATATGTGGGTGAGGGTGGTGGTGTATATGCGGTTGAGGGTGGTGGTGTATATGTGGGTGAGGGTGGTGGTGTTTATGCGGTTGAGGGTGGTGGTGTATATGCGGTTGAGGGTGGTGGTGTATATGTGGGTGAGGGTGGTGGTGTTTATGCGGGTGAGGTGGTGTATATGTGGGTGAGGGTGGTGGTGTATATGTGGGTGAGGGTGGTGGTGTATATGCGGTTGAGGGTGGTGGTGTATATGTGGGTGAGGGTGGTGGTGTATATGTGGGTGAGGGTGGTGGTGTATATGCGGTTGAGGGTGGTGGTGTATATGTGGGTGAGGTGGGTGTATATGGGTGAGGGTGGTGGTGTATATGTGGGTGGGTGGTGGTGTATATGGGTGAGGGTGGTGGTGTATATGCGGTGAGGGTGGTGGTGTTTATGCGGTTGAGGGTGGTGGTGTATATGCGGGTGAGGGTGGTGGTGTTTATGCGGTTGAGGGTGGTGGTGTATATGTGGGTGAGGGTGGTGGTGTGTATATGCGGTTGAGGGTGGTGGTGTTTATGCGGTTGAGGGTGGTGGTGTATATGTGGGTGAGGGTGGTGGTGTATATGCGGTTGAGGGTGGTGGTGTATATGTGGTTGAGGGTGGTGGTGTATATGCGGGTGAGGGTGGTGGTGTTTATGCGGTTGAGGGTGGTGGTGTATATGCGGGTGAGGGTGGTGGTGTTTATGCGGTTGAGGGTGGTGGTGTATATGTGGGTGAGGTGGTGGTGTATATGTGGGTGAGGGTGGTGGTGTATATGCGGTTGAGGGTGGTTTTGTATATGAGGGTGAGGCGGGTGGCGTATATGGCGTCTTACCTGTAGTGAGTCTTGTCGTGTCATCGGCGAACTTCACCAGGTGGTCGATGCTGTAGGTTTGTGCTGTAGGTGGTCAGTGTTGTAGGTTGGTGCTGTAGGTGGTTGGTGCTGTGGGTGGTTGGTGCAGTAGGTCATGGGTGCTGTAGGTGGTGGGTGCTGTAGGTGATTGGTGCAGATGAGTCGCTGGAACCGCCGCTCCTAACGAGCTTAATTTGACTGGAATTTCAGAATGACCTCATGAATAACATTCACATTGGCTTATTAAAGGTTAAAGGTCCCAGTCCCTCTCCTCTGTTTCAGCTGTGTTCTTATTAAAGGTCAAAGGTCCCAGTCCCTCTCCTCTGTTTCAGCCGTGTTCTTATTAAAGGTCAAAGGTCACAGTCCCTATCCTCTGTTCCAGCCATCTTCTGTATCGGGGTCTTCTCTCTGATGCTCCTCAGCCTCCTGGAGTCCATCCTGGTCCTGTATCTGATCAGCCGAGACCAAAGACCGGACCAGGACCAGAGCACCCCCTACAGGCCACTCCAAGGTAGCAGCGCACTGTGTAACTTTTCTGGTTCTGCTCGTTTTTATGGATACGTCACGCTCTGCCTGGAATGTTCCACAGTGTGACATTAAACATCTTGACTTTGCATTTATTCAATTACAGGTGGTTTTATCGTTCAAAAATACCTTGAAAAACAACATTCTGACTGTGAGTGGGGTCACCTCTCCACAGAGCTGACCTCTGACTGTGCCTGGTTTGGTCTCCATGAAGATAGAAATGTTTAATGCCATACTGTGGAACATTCCAGACAAAGCAATAACATCCCCGTGGAGACAAGCGACAACAAGTGACTCAATGCAGCTTTAAGGAACTTAGTCTCTGAAACCACACAGATCAGACTGTTTCAAATGTGACCCAGGCCACTTGGATATGTGCTCCTAAAACCAACACACATCCAGTCTTTTGACATGTGACTTCAGTCTGAACGGCCACGTCACATTCATCCACCTACACATCACAAATGTACACAAATGTTCTTCTCGTCAGATGAAAATTGTGTGTGAACTCTGTGTGAGTGAAGCAGTGAAGCACAAATCAATCCCCCCACTCTGCAACTCTGCACTAGGGATGGGCATTCGATGAAATTTTCTTAATCGATCGTCGGAAGAATTAACGATCGATTATCGATTAATCATTAATGTTTTTATATTAAAATGATCATCATTATTATTACTATCTGCACTAATCTGCATAAATAAATTCAATCTTTACGACATATAAAGCCGTAACGACTCTAGAGCCACATCAATCCGTTTGAGATTATAATGTGTTTAATTCAGTTTTGCACAACTCTCACAGAAACAAAACTTAAAACAGTATCGCTAATTTGCATAAACTAAGCGAAGATAAAACTACAGCTCTTGTGCGCTGATGCGATCAAAAGACATGACTCGGTGGAATACAGGTTAGTGTGACCATATTTGCGTTTGTCAAAACCAGGACACCGTACGGGGGATGAGAGGTGGGGACTCGTCATCGACATTGCGCTGCTCTCACCTGGCAAAACTTTTTCCCACTGGACACAGAAACATATGTGCTGCTTTGTACACTGTGCACATGGACTCACACTTGTCCCAAACGCAAAGGAAAGCGTGGAATTTCTTGTACAAATCATCGTTAAATACACATTTGTGCTTCTGTACGTTGCAGACTGACCAACTGTTTGTGTCTTGCTTCTTCTGAGTGCAGAGAGCTACATGTACAGACCTGTTTGGTCACACTACGCACAGCAACCTACATTCGGTTTGTCGATTAAAATTAACGTAATCGATGAAATTCTTAATGATCAATTACTGATTAATCGACTAATCATGCCCATCCCTACTCTGCACCCACACGTTTCTTTCTATGGATATTGCTACCACTGCCCCAGAAAACACCGTGGCCAAAAACCTTCTCCTTCTCAATCTCCTCCTTAAAACAAATAGTCTGTACATGTTCTGGTACGACAGCAGCTTTAAAATCTCCAGGTGCTCAATGCTGCGTCCATGTTTAGGCGACTTCTGTAAACACGGAGCACACTCGCTGTGTGTGACCCTTTTGGGGCGTTTAAAGTTCACACTGGAGATCACATACAAGTCACATTTAACTGGAAATGTGAACAACCTCGCAAAAACATCAGATTTCACAAAAATATCAGAATTGAGCTTTAAGACTTCCACGTGTTGTTTATGTTGTTGTCATCTTTTGTTTCAGATATGATCAGTTTGACTCGAGGTCTGGTTCCTCTGGAGTTCACTACAGAAAAGGTGAGTCTGTCTACAGCTCTAAAGCTCCAAACGCTCTGTTCCACCTTGTCATGAAGTGGTAGTTTCCAAGTGAACAGCTCCTTTTCCCTTTTTCAGTGGAGACTCCAGGACTGAAATGATCCAGATGATTCTAGTGAAGGTGTGTGGAGTAGGGCTGGTATCATTACGAAGTTGCCGATACGATTCAGACCTCGAAACATTGAACACAATACGATACATATCTCGTACAGTGAGCTTACGATTTGATACAATTCAGTACAATATATTTCAAATCAATTCAATATGGTTCAATAAAAAATAATGTGTAAATGATGTTGGGACACGAAAAGTCTTTGTTAAACTACTTTTTGTGCAAAAAATCTTTTCATATGAAGCAAACATTTTAATCCTCAAAACTCACAACAAAAAGTAAAGAGTTAAAATTGACTCTAACAGAATAATTTTTACCATTTTCTCAGGGTTTATATGAGTCCAATCTGGTAATTTCACATTTTTTGGCAATGTTAATTAAGTAACACTGGACCAAAGTTCCTGTTTAACCCAAAATCCAGGGTTATATTAAACTTTTGAGAGTAAACGGATAACACTTTGTAGGGGTATCCTGATGTGGCAAGACCGGCTTTGGGGGGTCTAGGCTGCGGGTGCTCTTACCTGTCGCTCCGTGGCGCTGCGCTGGTGGACTATTTAAGCGCTCCCTTCTCAGTCGTTTCCCCTTTGGCTCACACGCTCTTCCGGGCCTCTCCTGGTGGCCGCTCTGTCCTTCAGCTCAGGTAAATTCTCATTTGTAAGCCCTCTTGCACGTTATATCCAAATTTACAATCACGTCTCCTTTTAGTGCCGCTGCTTGGCCGATGCTCAGCACCGCATCAGTCCCTTGCTCCTCCAAATTTCATTTCTGCCGACAGGTAATGCACGCCCGATACTTCTCCACTCATTCATCCACGCCCAAATTCTTACCGGCGTCTCTTCTTATTTCCACGGGTGAGCCGAGTGAGTCCCTCGCCCTATTGCGCTTGGCTGTGCGTCGTCTCGTCCCCTAAACCGCGGCGGCAGGTAGCAAAACCCTTCTATGTGCTACCTGTGCCAGCCAACCTTCTAAACTGTGTTATGTTTATAGCGTGTTGCGGTCCACATTGTTTGGACCACGTCTGGACGCATTGGCTCTGCGTAAAGTTGCCTTTGCTTCAGCCTGGGATTGCGCACTGTCACTTCCAACCGCGTTATGTTATTTAGCCCAGAATCTTGTACTGCAGACTCAGATTTTAATTCCAAAAATTAACTTTCTAGGTGTCAGCGAGGGCCTGCAGTGGCGTGAGCACACCGCCTCTGCTGTTTTTGCTTCGCTATTTTGTTTTGCTTTGTTTTGTTTTACTTTAGTTTTGCTTCTGGTTTTGGGGTTTCGCTTTGCGTTTTCAATATTTTGTACCCATTTCTCCCATTGTCGTGTTTTACTGCTTTGCCTATTTTTATGGATGTAGCTACTTTTAAACAACTTAAAACTGTCTTTGAAAACAGAAAAAATAAAGATTGTGTAAATGATGGAACCTGGCTTCTCTCCCTGTCATTGATATGCTTACCTGTGTGCCTCAAATTTAAACTCTATTTCCCCAAAGTAGATTTGGGGTGGCGTTGTTGCAACAATTATAAAATTTAACATTCCCAAGTGTTAACCCCTCGTGTCGCCACACTGCTTTAGCTAAACAACACAGAGGTGGTTTATTTTTACACTTCATTTGAGTCAGGGTTAGTTGAGTTAATTTAAGAAGAAATTATGAAACTGGTTCAAACTGGTCTTTTCTCGTGGGAGTTTGTAGTGGTGGGAGGAGCCAAATTAACACCAAGGGAAGATGAATTCACTCCAACCATATCAACTCTGGCAAATAACCCCAAGTCGAACCCCCATTGAAGTTTTAGATAGTTAAAATAACACTTTTTGTGTTAAAAAAAACTCTGAAATATTTTAGCCTGAAAGCATAACCCTCTAGTTTTTGCTGTGCAGAGAAAATGTCAAATATGTTGCATAAACAAAACAGTAGCTAGAACAAAATCATTTAGTAAAATAAACCAAAAAAATCCTCTTGGTGATATATTGATACAGCAGCCCATGACATCCATACTGTCACATTAAACCATACGATATATTGATATTTTGATATTTTTGCACAGCCCTAGTGTGGAGGTTAAAAACACAGTGGAGCACTTCCTGTATCACCACATGATGACATCACAAGGTGGAACAGAGTGTTTTCATGCTAAATGTGCAGGGCTTGTGTGTTAAACATGTCAATGAAACAAACCACAACTCCAGGTGACCCCTCTCTCTCTGATGGTGTCTCTCTCTCTCTCTCTGATGGTGTCTCTCTCTCTCTCTCTCTCTCTGATGGTGTCTCTCTCTCTCTCTCTCTGATGGTTCTCTCTCTCTCTCTCTCTGATGGTGTCTCTCTCTCTCTCTCTCTCTGATGTGTCTCTCTCTCTCTCTCTCTCTTGATGGTGTGTCTCTCTCTCTCTCTCTGATGGTGTCTCTCTCTCTCTCTGATGGTGTCTCTCTCTCTCTCTGATGGTGTCTCTCTCTCTCTCTCTCTTCTGATGGTGTCTCTCTCTCTCTCTCTGATGGTGACTTCTCTCTCTCTCTCTCTCTCTCTGATGGTGTCTCTCTCTTCTCTCTCTCTCTCTCTGATGGTGTCTCTCTCTCTCTCTCTCTGATGGTGTCTCTCTCTCTCTCTCTCTGATGGTGTCTCTCTCTCTCTCTCTCTCTCTGATGTGTCTCTCTCTCTCTCTCTCTGATGGTGTCTCTCTCTCTCTCTCTCTGATGGTGACTTCTTCTCTCTCTGATGGTGTCTCTCTCTCTCTCTTCTGATGTGTCTCTCTCTCTCTCTCTCTCTCTGATGGTGTCTCTCTCTCTCTCTCTCTGATGGTGTCTCTCTCTCTCTCTCTCTCTCTCTGATGGTGTCTCTCTCTCTCTCTCTCTCTGATGGTGTCTCTCTCTCTCTCTCTCTGATGGTGTCTCTCTCTCTCTCTCTCTGATGGTGACTCTCTCTCTCTCTGATGTGTCTCTCTCTCTCTCTCTCTGATGGTGCTCTCTCTCTCTCTGATGGTGCTCTCTCTCTCTCTCTCTGATGTGACCTCTCTCTCTCTCTCTCTGATGGTGTCTTCTCTTCTCTCTCTGATGGTGTCTCTCTCTCTGATGGTGTCTCTCTCTCTCTCTCTCTGATGGTGTCTCTCTCTCTCTCTCTGATGGTGATCTCTCTCTCTCTCTCTCTGATGGTGTCTCTCTCTCTCTCTGATGGTGTCTCTCTCTCTCTCTCTGATGGTGTCTCTCTCTCTCTCTCTGATGGTGACTCTCTCTCTCTGATGGTCTCTCTCTCTCTCTCTGATGGTGTCTCTCTCTCCTCTCTCTGATGGTCTCTCTCTCTCTCTCTCTGATGGTGTCTCTCTCTCTCTCTCTGATGGTGTCTCTCTCTCTCTCTCTGATGGTGATCTCTCTCTCTCTCTCTCTCTGATGGTGACTCTCTCTCTCTCTCTGATGGTGACTCTCTCTCTCTCTCTGATGGTGTCTCTCTCTCTCTCTCTGATGGTGACTCTCTCTCTCTCTGATGGTGTCTCTCTCTCTCTCTCTGATGGTGTCTCTCTCTCTCTGATGGTGACTCTCTCTCTCTGATGGTGACTCCTCTCTCTCTCTGATGGTGTCTCTCTCTCTCTGATGGTGTCTCTCTCTCTCTCTGATGGTGACTTCTCTCTCTGATGGTGACTCTCTCTCTCTCTCTCTCTCTGATGGTGTCTCTCTCTCTCTCTCTCTGATGGTGTCTGTCTCTCTCTCTCTGATGGTGACTCTCTCTCTCTGATGGTGTCTCTCTCTCTCTCTCTCTGATGGTGTCTCTCTCTCTCTCTCTCTGATGGTGACACCTCTCTCTCTCTGATGGTGATCTCTCTCTCTCTCTCTGATGGTGACTTCTCTCTCTCTGATGGTGATCTCTTCTCTCTCTCTGATGGTGTCTCTCTCTCTCTCTCTGATGGTGTCTCTCTCTCTCTCTCTCTGATGGTGTCTCTCTCTCTGATGGTGTCTCTCTCTCTCTCTCTGATGGTGTCTCTCTCTCTCTCTTCTGATTGTGTCTCTCTCTCTCTCTCTGATGGTGTCTCTCTCTCTCTCTCTCTGATGGTGATCTCTCTCTCTCTCTCTCTCTCTCTCTCTGATGGTGTCTCTCTCTCTCTCTGATGGTGACTCCTCTCTCTCTCTGATGGTGTCTCTCTCTCTCTCTGATGGTGACTCTCTCTCTCTCTGGTGTCTCTCTCTCTGATGGTGTCTCTCTCTCTCTCTGATGGTGACTCTCTCTCTTCTCTCTCTCTCTGATGGTGACTTCTCTCTCTCTGATGTGTTCTCTCTCTCTCTCTCTGATCTGATGGTGTCTCTCTCTCTCTCTCTGATGGTGACTCCTCTCTCTCTGATGGTGTCTCTCTCTCTCTCTCTGATGGTGACTTCTCTCTCTCTCTCTCTCTGATGGTGACTCTCTCTCTCTCTGATGGTGACTCTCTCTCTCTGATGGTGACTCTCTCTCTCTGATGGTGTCTCTCTCTCTCTCTCTGATGGTGTCTTCTCTCTCTGATGGTGTCTCTCTCTCTCTCTCTCTGATGGTGTCTCTCTCTCTCTCTCTCTCTTGTGATGGTGCTCTCTCTCTCTCTCTCTCTGATCTCTCTGATGTCTCTCTCTCTCTCTCTCTGATGGTGACTTCTCTCTCTCTGATGGTGACTCCTCTCTCTCTCTGATGGTGACTCTCTCTCTCTCTGATGGTGACTTCTCTCTCTCTGATGGTGACTCTCTCTCTCTGATGGTGACCTCTCTCTCTCTGATTCTCTCTCTCTTGATGGTGACTCTCTCTCTGATGTGATGTCTCTCTCTCTGATGGTGACTCTCTCTCTCTGATGGTGACTTCTCTCTCTCTCTCTGATGGTGACTCTCTCTCTCTCTGATGGTGACTCTCTCTCTCTGATGGTGTCTCTCTCTCTCTCTCTGATGGTGACTCCTCTCTCTCTCTGATGGTGTCTCTCTCTCTCTCTCTCTGATGGTGACTCTCTCTCTCTGATGGTGACTCTCTCTCTCTCTGATGGTGTCTCTCTCTCTCTTCTCTCTCTGATGGTGACTCTCTCTCTCTCTTCTCTCTCTCTGATGGTGTCTCTCTCCTCTCTCTCTGATGGTGACTCTCTCTCTGATGGTGACTTCTCTCTCTGATGGTGACTTCTCTCTCTCTGATGGTGTCTCTCTCTCTGATGGTGACTCTCTCTCTCTTCTCTGATGGTGACCTCTCTCTCTCTCTCTCTCTCTGATGGTGACTCTCTCTCTTCTCTCTCTCTGATGGATGACTTCTCTCTCTCTGATGGTGACTTCTCTCTCTCTGATGGTCACTTCTCTCTCTGATGGTGTCTCTCTCTCTCTCTCTGATGGTGACTTCTCTCTCTCTGATGGTGTCTCTCTCTCTCTCTGATGGTTGTCTCTCTCTCTCTCTCTCTCTCTGATGGTGACTCTCTCTCTCTCTCTCTGATGGTGACTCTCTCTCTCTCTCTCTCTGATGGTGACCTCTCTCTCTCTGATGGTGTCTCTCTCTCTCTCTCTCTCTGATGGTGTCTCTCTCTCTCTCTCTGATGGTTGACTCTCCTCTCTCTCTCTGATGGGTGTCTCTCTCTCTCTGATGGTGACTCTCTCTCTCTCTCTCTCTCTCTCTCTCTGATGGTGTCTCTCTCTCTGATGGTGACTTCTCTCTCTCTGATGGTGCTATCTCTCTCTCTCTGATGGTGACACCTCTCTCTCTCTGATGGTGACTTCTCTCTCTGATGGTGTCTCTCTCTCTCTCTCTGATGGTGACTCCTCTCTCTCTCTGATGGTGACACCTCTCTCTCTCTCTGATGGTCTCTCTCTCTGATGGTCTCTCTCTCTCTCTCTGATGGTGTCTCTCTCTCTCTCTCTGACTTCTCTCTCTGATGGACTCTCTCTCTCTGATCTCTCTCTCTCTCTGATGGTGACTTCTTCTCTCTGATGGTGACTCTCTCTCTCTCTGATGGTGACTCTCTCTCTCTCTCTCTCTCTCTGATGGTGACTTCTCTCTCTGATGTGTCTCTCTCTCTCTCTCTGATGTGTCTCTCTCTCTCTCTCTCTCTCTGATGGTGATCTCTCTCTCTCTCTCTCTCTGATGGTGTCTCTCTCTCTCTCTCTGACTTCTCTCTCTCTGATGGTGACTTCTCTCTCTCTGATGGTGACCTCTCTCTCTCTGATGGTGACTCTCTCTCTCTCTCTCTCTCTCTGATGTGTCTCTCTCTCTCTCTCTGATGGTGACTCTCTCTCTCTTGATGGTGACTCTCTCTCTCTTCTCTCTCTCTGATGGTGACTCTCTCTCTCTCTCTCTCTCTCTGATGGTGTCTCTCTCTCTCTCTCTCTGATGGTGTCTCTCTCTCTCTCTCTCTCTCTCTGATGGTGACCTCTCTCTCTCTCTGATGGTGACTCTCTCTCTCTCTCTGATGGTCTGTCTCTCTCTCTCTCTCTGATGGTGACTCTCTCTCTCTCTCTGATGGTGTCTCTCTCTCTCTCTCTCTCTCTGATGGTGACTCTCTCTCTGATGGTGTCTCTCTCTCTCTCTCTCTGATGGTGTCTCTCTCTCTCTCTCTGATGGTGACCTCTCTCTCTCTGATGGTTCTCTCTCTCTGATGGTGACCTCTCTCTCTCTCTCTCTGATGGTGACTTCTCTCTCTCTGATGGTGACCTCTCTCTCTTCTCTCTCTCTGATGGTGATCTCTCTCTCTCTCTCTCTCTGATGGTGACTTCTCTCTCTCTGATGGTGTTCTCTCTCTTGATTCTCTCTCTCTCTGATGGTGACTCTCTCTCTCTCTCTCTCTGATGGTGACTCTCTCTCTCTGATGGTGACTCTCTCTCTCTGATGGTGACCCTCTCTCTCTGATGGTGACTCTCTCTCTCACTCTCTCTCTCTCTCTCTGATGGTGACTCTCTCTCTCTGATGGTGACTCTCTCTCTCTCTGATGGTGACTCTCTCTCTCTCTGATGGTGACTCTCTCTCTCTCTGATGGTGACTTCTCTCTCTCTGATGGTGACTTCTCTCTCTCTGATGGTGACTCTTTCTCTCTCTCTGATGGTGACACCTCTCTCTCTCTGATGGTGACCTCTTATGTGTCCAGGGGGAGGTTTCAGAGCAGTTTCTGAGCTGCCTGATGAAAAATCTCCTGCAGAACCAAACCCAGGAGGAGGCTGTGGGCTACTGGACCAGGAAGGCCAGCACCATCCACAGAGTGTTCTTCATCTTCTACCTGACCGCCGCCGTGAGCTTCCTGGGGGGGATCTTCTACATGTGGACAGCCCCAGTGACATATGAAACAAAAGGATAGTTTAAAGTGGGTTGGGGGGTGCATCACCTGCTTATTGCTATGTATACGTCATTACTCTGCCTTGAATGTTCCGCAGTGTGACATTAAACAGCTCTGCCTTACATTTATTCAATTATTGGTGGTTTTATAATCAAAAACATAGAAAACATGAAACGAGGCATTCTGGCTGTGAGCGGGGTCGCATCTCCACAGATCTGACTTGGAATTCCATCGGGTCTTGGTCTCTGACGATAGAAATGTTTTTTGCCATTACTGAATTCATGTTTTAATATAATTCATGTATTAGAAAACCATAAAACAGCTGTTTGCTGTGTAATTAGAATGTTACGCGTGTAACCGAGGTGCTCCTGCATGTTTCTAAAGTCTGTACACTTCACCATATTCACTGGAGATATATCCACAGTGAAGTTACTGCTGTTAGCCTCAGTCTGTTTTCTCTGAAATCTGTGCACCTGCCCCTGCACCTGCCATCAGACAAAACATGAAGTCTCATGTAAATGTAATCTATAATAAAGGTCAGAAAACTGATTCTATCTCCTCCTGGTCTTCTCTTAGTCCTGGTTTACTCCTGGTTCAGTTCTGGTCCAGTCCTGGTTTAGTTCTGCTGGGTTTAATGCATTTTAATGACTTTGAACCAAAACAGCCACTTCACAAGAGAGCAACACAGGACCTCAGTGTGCTGTACATCTCCACCTAAAAGGATCTCAGTGTGCTGTACATCTCCACCTAAATCCTCATCAGAAACAGCCCTCATCAAAAGACTGGAAGTGTGTGTTTCAGAGTAGTTTCAGTGTAGTGAGTGCCCCCTTCAGGCAGACAGAAGGCAGTGCCACCAGAGTCTGACCAGAACTGAAGAAACATCTTGGATGAGCTGAGAAACATTTTCAACCAAAATAAACTTTTGTCCAGTTGACAAATTGAATTTCTCCTTTTGCCAGTGACCTAAAAGAGTTTAAAGAGTGTTCAGACGCACACACAGACGTACACACAAATGTACACACAAGTGTAAATACAGACGTACACACAGACATACACAAAGGTGTATACACAGATGTACACAAAGGTCTAGACACAGGTGTACACATAGACGTGCACACAGACGAACACACAGACTAACACACAGGTTACACACAGACGTACACACAGACATACACAAAGGTGTATACACAGATGTACACAAAGGTCTAGACACAGGTGTACACATAGACGTGCACACAGACGAACACACAGACTAACACACAGGTGTACACACAGAGGTACACACAGACGTACACACAGAAGGAGAGTAAAATTGACTCAAACATGCACAAGTCACTCAAATACACCTGGAGCGCGTAAACAAGAAGAGAAACTAGGGGTGACGAAATATGTCTGTGTTCTTCCACATAAACTCTCTCCATAAGTCGGAGCTTGAGGTTTTTACAGTGGCTTTACAGATATTTACCCAATCACCATCAGTGAAATTGATCCCTGCCTCCTTTTCTCATTTGCCAACACACCAACACACCAACAGCTTCTCCGTGTCAATGTGGTGATAACTGTATCAGTAACACAATTTAGACGTGCCTATTCATTAATTAGACTCGTTAAATAAAGCTTGCGAGTTGCCAGTGGTTTAAGTGCCTGTTATAATTACTATTATGGTCTAATTCAGTAAGTAAATAGCAGTAGATTTCGTTTTTAAGATACATCTTTCCACGCAATGTTAGTGCAACATGAACGCTGAAGTTATCTGTAACAGTAAAACAGATTTCTTTCGGCCTTCCACAATTCATCGATCAAACTCGATAATTAAGCTTGTGTAAAATCAGTGTTTAAATATATGAAAATATAATCACATATTTCTCGCTAGAAAAATCATAAAATGTTTAATTTAGTTTTTAAATCACCCATAAAATAGAATTTTAGCTAAAAAGCATAAAAAGAATTTTAGCTAAAACTTTTGAAATAAGTCGGCCATTTTGATTTCTAGCGTTGCCAGAAAATTGAAAGTCAAGTGATTCCTATAGAAATGAATGGCACAAAAAATTAAGACAATGTCACAATTTAAGAGGCCAAACTGTGAAATACATACATCTTTCAGGTGGACCTATGTTTCTGTTTCAGGTCTAAAACAGGTCTAAACCAGGTCTAAACCAGGTCTAAACCAAGTCTAAACCAAGTCTAAATCAGGACTAAACCAAGTCTAAATCAGGACTACATCAGAACTACACCAGGACTAAACCAGGTCTAAATCAGGACTACATCAGAACTACACCAGGACTAAACCAGGTCTAAATCAGGTGTAAACCAGGACTACACCAGGACTAAACCAGGACTAATCTTGGACTTGAGAGAGAGAGATGGGACCCTGAGCCCATGGAGCAGGGTGCTGCAATGCGCAGTCGGGTGACGGCTGCGCTTAGCTCAGCGGAACGTGAAGCTCTGCGCTCTTTCTCCTGTGGTCACCCAACGGTCTATGTGGGCGCACCTCCGGGCCCACCCCAACACTCAGTTCTGGTTCAGTTCTGGTTTAGTTTTAGTTTACTCCCGGTTTAGTTCTGTTTTAGTCCTAGTTCAGTCCTGATTTAGTCCTGGTTCAGTCTGTATGCTGCGTGAAAGTCCAGCATCTCGATGGATGTTTCTTCTGCTCAATAAACAATGCCAGTGAAGTGATGATGTATTTCTGACAGTAAAGTTGTGTCTGCGAATTTGTATTTGTCCTGAAGAAAGTGCAATCGTAAATTTTCATTTTGTGATTGTAATTCTTGATGTTGTAACTTCAGTTTGTAGTCTGATGGAAAAAATATACACAATATATTTTATGTATGACTGGACTCATTCAAGAGTTTATGAATATTTATTTTATGCTCAACTACAGACAAATATGGATTTCCCAAATATGCACAGATTTCTATCCTATACACATAAATGTTTCTGAAAGGTTTCTTACGCCATAGTCCACCACCTGCTTGACTCCACGTAGACGTTTTTTGGGGGGGAATTTTCCACAGTATATGGCGACAAGCTTAGCCACATCACTAGACCAAGTTACAGGTCAAATCTGTGGAGAAGTGGGCATGCTCACAGTTAAAATGCATATTTTTGCAGTAGTTTGTAGTTTTGAGAAATAAAAACGCCTGTAATTGATTAAACACAAGACTTGTTTGTTTAATACTGTGGAACATAGCAGTAGTAATAGAATGTCTAGAATAGAAAGCCTTTATTGTCATTATACAATATAATGAAATTCAGAGCTGCTCTGTCAAAGTGCAAGAATTAATAATAAATAAAATGAATTAACAGTTCTCAGTGTAATGATGATTCATTATGGTGACAGCTTTGGGGAAGACGCTGTCCCTGAGTCTGTTTGTCCTGGCTGGAATGGACCTGAAGTGTCTGTCAGAAGGCAACAGGTTGAACAGGTGGAATCCAGAGTGTGTATTGTCTTCAGTGATGTTCCTCGCTCTGCTGAGACAGTGGGAGTTGTATAACGTGGTTAAGGAAGACAGAGAGCAGCCAATAATGTCCTGTGCAGTGTTGGTCACCCTCTGCAGACGCTTCCTGTCAGCCTCTGTGCAGCGAGAGCCACACTGTCACAGCAGAGGTCAGCAGGCTCTCAATGGTGGAACGATAGAAGGTCACCAGCAGACTTGTGTTTAGTTGCTCCTTCCTGAGCACCCTCAGGAAGTGCAGCCTCTGCTGGGCCGTTTTGACCAGTACTGAGGTGTTGACTGACCAGGAGAGATCCGCAGAGATGTGAACCCCAAGAAATTTGAAGGTCTCCACTCTCTCCACACTTTGGTCGTTGATGTACAGGGGGGCAGGGGTGGCTCTGTGCCGCCGAAAGTCCAGAATAAGTTCCTAAGTCTTGGTGATGTTTAGTGCCAAGTTGTTAGTTGCACACCTCTCGCTGAGTAGTGGTAGTAGTTGTAGTAGCAAAAGTCGTAGTTAGTAGTAGTAGTCTTAATAGTACTTGTTGTAGTAGTAGCAGTAGTAGCCTAGTAGTTATAGTACTTATAGTAGTAGTAGTAGTAGTAGTAATCTCCATGGCCACATCATTAGACAAAGTTACAAGGTCAGATCTGTGGAGAAGTGGGTAACTGTATTAGTTGTAGTAGCAGAAGTAGTAGTTAGTAGTGGTAGTCTTAGCAGTAGTTGTTGTAGTAGTAGTAGCAGTAGTAGAAGTTAGTGTAGTAGTAGTAGTAGTAGTAGTAATAGTAATAGTGGTAGTAGTAGTAGTAGTCTCCATGGCGATAAACTTGGCCACATCACTAGAAAAAGTTACAGGTCAGATCTGTGGAGATGTGGGCACGCTCACAGTAAAAATACATGTTTTTACAGTAGTTTTGAGAAATAAAAACACCTGTAATAGAATAAACACAAGATATATTTGTTTAATTCCATTCTGGTAGGGTAAAGCAATAACATCACCATGGAGACAAGCAGATGCCAGATCCTCCTTCAGAAAAGTTACACAGTGCACCTTTAAATACAGTAGCGAACTCATTTGACTTTGTTACGTTGCACCACTGCTCATATGTGAACTTGGATAAGTATAACACGAATGCAAAACGAAAAGAATAGTAAAGGTTTTGAGGTGTTAATGGAGTTCGCCTGTTAGAGTCTGTAAATCACTTTTCTCATTAAGATCATTGTTGACTACAGTCTGCATCTGGTGAGCTCATTATAAAAAGTTCATTATGTATTTATGAAAATGTATACGAGGTTATTTTCCAATCCGCAAACAATGAATTCTGGGGACAGGCCAAAACACCGCTTAGTCCAACTCTGTACAGCAAAACTTCACTCAAATGTTACTCAGTTATCAAAGCAGAATGTTATGTGCTTGTGGAATTTCTTCTTCGCATTTTGAATTCTTCGCATTTCATCCGAGGGTGGAGCTTAGCGTTCCATGTCAGTCAAAGTGAACTACCTGTCGTGCTGTATTTTCCAAGGAGAGTGAGTTCATTTATTTCACAATAGCTGGGCTTCACGTGACGTCACAGGGCTACATTTGT